TCCTCATTTAAATTCTGTTTGAACATTCATACAGAAACTATTCATCATTCCTTTCTTGTCATTGCGGAGTCAACTAATTTTGTTCGAAAGTCCTTAAAGGATAAGTTCACCTTCAGAAACATGTTACATGTTCCACCCGTCTTTAGAGTGGAACATGTAACATGTTCCCATTGCTGCAGCCGTGCCCATCGCCCCCCCTCCCTCTGACAGATAATAATGGGAGAAGTTTCCCCGTACTGTCAGATTTTAAAACAACTCGGCCGTACGGGGCTCCGCCCACACAGCTGCATCATTCACTCAAGGACTTCCGTGAATGAACTGCAAGTCCCGTCAGCCTTGGTGGCTGTCGGCTTGTAGTTTTCAATGAACTACCATGGTGCTGTGGAGCGCCGTGGTAGTTCAATGAAGCTTCCAGTCAGAATATCTGCTTGGTCATACATCCTGTATGGAAAGCAGATATTCTGACAGGTCTGCAGGAGACCTGCATGGGACCAGTGATCTACTGATGGCCGGTGCAATGCTTTCCAGGATCCTTTGGACAAAAATAATAATTTACCTGCAAAAAAATTAGCATTTATTATTTTTGTCCAAAAGGTGAGCCTATCCTTTAAAATGTCATTCAATTTCATCCAGACCTGCTATTTACCAGTAATCCCAGACGTATTAAACAGGTTCCATTACAATTGTTTCGAGAAAATTTTCCATCCTACTCCGCCAAGTTGACCCCACTACATAGTTACATAGTTAGTCTGGCTGAAAAAAGACAAAAGTCCATCCAGTTCAACCATAGAAAAAAAAAAAAAACACACTAGAAAATCAAACAAGTGTTCCAAAATCGATCTTTACGAAATTCTACTCATGTATTCCCACCATTAACTCTTGGCAAGCTTTCTGGCTATAAAGCGGACCCTCCTACATCAACACCTAGACCCCGCAACAAATACGAAGATAAGGACTTATAATAACTACTAATAATATAGTAGCTGGGCAAACAATCATTTTCAGCCCCTGAATTATACTCACTACTTGAATACCTCTTTCAGGTTTTAAAGTCTGCATGTGGCGCAGGGGCGGACTGACCATTGGATCACTCGGGCACTGCCCGAGGGACCGGGGTCAGTAGGGGGCCCCATGAGATGCCCCTGGTACCTTTCATTGGCTTTATCATAGGCTTTTTCGGGTGTGGGCCCCATGATCCCCTATTGCCCGGGGGCCCCATGAGTTGTCAGTCCGCCCCTGATGTGGCGTCATTGCTGCTCAGCCACTATGACTTTCACAAAGCAGTAGTAAATGCTACTTTATGATTTGTCCCTACAGGTAAGTCTATAATAAGGCTTACCTGTAGGTACGGTGAACATCTAAACATGCACCATTTAGGAGATATTCACATTTGCAGTAGCCGGTTGACGTCACTGGCGCATGCACACTGAGCTCCCAATGGATGGCACATTGGTTTATGCCACTTACTGAGAGCGCCGGGGACTTTATTACTGCTTTAATCCACAAGAAGAGTTCAGTCCTGGTCTAGTATAGATCTGTGAGGATGCCATTTCCTAGGAGTCTATTCAAGTTTTGTATTGAACTGATGAAGGTTGTTTTGGCTCCCAAAAAAACACATTGGTTATTTTTTAATATGGATATACAAGTATATTTATTATTTTAGGTACTTATTTAGCGCCGTGCTTTACATATATATTGTACATTCACATCAGTCCCTAACCCTCAAGGGGCGTACAATCTAAAGTCCCAAATGTACATTCATACATATACATACTAGGGCCAATTTAGACAGGAGCCAAGTAACCTACCAGCATGTCTTTGGAGTGTGGGAGGAAACCCACGCAGGCACAGGGAGAACATGCAAACTCCAGGCAGGTGGTGCCGTTGTTGGGATTTGAACCGACGACCCTAGTACTGCCAGGCGGAAGTGCTAACCATTTAGCCACTGTGCTGCTACTCAGCTGTTCTCTGTTCGGTGCTGAGAACGGTTTCCATGACCCAAGCTGAAGACTATATCCCATACACAGTTTGAGGTTTCAAAAAAATTGTATTTATCCATACAAAGGAATACAGCTAAAAAGCTGCATACACTAACACGTTCCAACCTTAAAGAAAGCTAGGATAGCTCTTGAGATCTGACAATAGGGAACATGGCCGGGAGAGAAACTATCTACATGGTCAAGAGAGGTTTGTTCTGGCCTTGACAGGACAGAAGAAGATCATTCTGACCATGGTGGACACGTCTGTCCAGGAGAGGAACATTCCAACTGGGTGTGGGGGGAGGGTAAGATGGCCAAGAGAGCAGTAAAATGAAGGGTGGAGAGATGGGAAAAGGAGAACAGCAGCATAAATGTGCTGATAACATATACAAATAACATATTTGCACTAAATTAAGCAGTGGTCAGGAGCATTTCCTGGCTGTCTGGCAGTTCTGTTAGTAATTATTTTATTTTTTTTTAGTTCTCTTTATAGCTTCATTGCCAGTAGGTACCTAAATTTGCATTTAGCTGCTAAGGGCTCATGTACACTGCAGCTGATAAACTCACGTTTAGGAGCTGTTCAGCGTTTTGTTCAGCAGCCCCTGAACTCTCCCTAATGTTTTCCTCTGTGTCCATGTACACATCATCGTTTACAGGCATTTGCATTTACAGTCGTTTTTTTTTAATGCAGAAAACTTGCGTTAAGCATTTCAAACTCTAAATGCAACAAATCGTGTTTATAAGCATTTGCAACTTTTTTAACTCTTCCAGTTCCCGATGCTGTCTAGAGCCTTTTTTCATCATGAAAAATGCATGCAAAGCGTTTTCAAAGTACTCAAATGGACAAAAAACACTGAACACAGGATGTTCCTACCAAGCTTGTCACACATGGTAATGACCAATTCACACCTCAGACCTCTCCCACCCTTGGAAACAAGATATTTTAACATTCACACCTCAAATTCCTCATGAAGACCCCCTGCCAGGTGACCTTAATGAGTCATTAAGGCCACCTGGCAGGGGGTCTTCTAGACATCTTTCCCACCTTGGAAACAAAAGAAATGTTAATGAGCAACTCACACCTAAGCTAATCTCAACACATACTTCTGTCTCTGCTTCTACTCTCTGTATTTCTCTGAAACAGTCCGAAATAGTTAATAATTTATCACTTATCAGTGCATTCTGGGCATTTGGGAGGTTCTCCTGTGCTTATCTTTAAAAAAACGCTTCTAAACACAAACGCGCATAAACCTGGTATGCAAACGAGGCTAAACAGATGTTCTTTAATCTACGTTTTCCAGCAGTTTCCATCGTGAATGGGACAGAAATTTTAAAAAGTTTCAATATATCGTATAATGTACAGGGAAGAAAATGATTTCACTGCAGAATAAACTACAGGTCTACATAGAGGCCGAGGCAAAACGAGCAATAAATTCCTGCAGTGTTTGCACTGAGCTATGGCAGAGGCTGGTTTCTATGTACAAAAGGAGTTGGTTTGGCATTGTCAGCCGCAAAGCTGTTTATAAAAAGTGTCACAAAGTTGCAAACTTTGTAATGTTTATAGAGGCAAGGGAAGCCAGTACGATGAGTATTTAACCGCTTTCCCGCCACCCTATAGTAGAACTACTGCTAAAGGGGCGGCAGGGCTGCGCAAAATCACACACACACACACACACACACACACACACACACATATATATATATACACACATACATACATACATACACGTCATTTGCATTTCTGGGTAGGGAGGCGTGTGCGCAGCCCTACCAACGCAGCCACTGGTAGCTAGGGATGTCAATCACTGGGTCCCGGGCCAGAGATTCCCCTCCTGCACCTGGCGATTGTAGGACAAAGCTGACAGGGGAGAGACCTGTATGTAAACAGCACAGGTCTCTCTCCTGCCAGCAAGGACATGCTGCTGTGTATTTATCTGCACAGCAGCATTTCTCTCCAGTAAAAAACACACAGCACATCATGTAAAACAGTACACAGTTAACCCTTTGATCGTTCCAGATATTAACCCCTTCCTGCCCAGTGTCATTAGTACAGTGTCAGTGCTTTTTATTAGCACTGATCACTGTATTAGTGTCATAGATTGTAAGCTCCCAGGATCAGGGCCCTCCTAACCCTCTTGTATTGAACTGTATTGTCTCCCTTTATTTTGTAAAGCACTGAGTAAACTGTTGGCGCTATATAAATCCTGTATAATAATAATAATTGGGATGTCAGTGGCAGTTAGTCAGTTCCCCCCCAGTGTCAGAATGCCCGCTGCAGTCCCGATATAAGTCGCTGATCGCTATTACTAGTATAAAAAAAAAAATTTAATTACAGTATATACACACACCACCATTTGTAGATGCTATAACTTTCACGTAAACCAATTAATTTACATGTGTTGGGATTTTTTTTTCTAGCAAAGACATGGAGCAGAATACATTTTGGCCAAAATTTATGAATTAATTTTTTTTTTAATTTTTTACTGGATATGTGTTATAGCAAAAAGTCAAAAATATTGTTTTTTCTTTCCAAAATTGTCAGTCTTTTTTACAGCACAAAAAAATAAAAAAAACGCACAGGTAATCAAATACCACTGAAAGAAAGCTCTATATGTGAGAAAAAAAAAGGACATAAACTGGGTGCTGAGTTGCATGACCACGCAATTGTCAGTTAAAGTAAAGCAGAGCCATATCGCAAAAAATGGCCTGGTCAGGAAGGGGGGGGGGGGGGGGAACCTCTGGAGGGCAAGTGGTTAAAGGGTTATTCTACTAAAAAATATGTTTAGCTTCGAATATATCCACTTTACTTGAGAATGAATCCTCTTTACTTGAGTTTCCAGGTCACAATGCATATGGAAGCACTACTATGATTAGAGCGGTTGTAACAGCAGATTTTTTTCCTTGCATGCATTCTCTGCATCAAAGCGGAGTTCCACTCACGCTGTCAAAAAATAAAAGTCAGCAGAAAAAACTGTAGCTGCTGACTTTTAAAAAACACACACACTCACCTGTCCCTCGGTCCCGCAGTGTGTTCCCCACAGCCCATGTTACCGGCTGTCTTCTTCTCTCCCTGGGCGCCGGCATCTTCAGTGTGGCTGTTACAGCTTGCGGCTTCACAGCCAGGTACCCACTGCGCATGCGCGAGTTGCACTGCGCTTCATGAATGGTCCTGTAGTCTTCTGGGACCTGCAACATGTCCCAAAAGATTATGGGGAGGGAGAAAGGGAGGACACCTTCCACTTACGATCGCCTAGGTGATCGGAGCGAAAGTGGGAGTGGGTACCTGTCAAATTCGGGTACCCGCTCCCTCCCCGCCCCCCCAAAGGTGCCAATCCTTAATGGGGAGCGGGGAAGCACTCCTTAAAGCGGATCTTCCCCTTTTGGGTGGAGCTCCGCTTTAATGTGAAAACCTTCCATTGTCAGCTCTCACCCCAAATACCTACCTGAGTCTGATCTCAATCCAGCGCTATGCCCAGAGCAGTAGCGCTGTTCTCTCTGTGCCTCCAATGGACCCTGTGAGAGCAGCGGGAGCCATTGGCACCTACTGATGTCAATCAAATCCAGTGGAGAGAGAGCAGGGGGCAGGCCAAGCCACACTGTGTGTGTGTCAATGAATGCACACAGCGCAGCTCAGGATAGAGCACCAAGTGGCTTCCTATGGTGACACATGCAGATGAGGAGGAGCAGAGAGTGCATGCAGTGGACCCAGGAAGAGGAGGATCGGAGCTGCTTTGTGCAAAATCAGCATAGAGCAGGCAAGTATAACTTGTTTTTTTTAATAAAAAAAAATACTTTTACAATCACTTTAAAGTTTTAGTATATACAATACCTTCTTTGTGTAAGGAAAAGTTAAAACCCTTGCCAGGTTATATTTTGCTGTCTGGTTACAGCTGGAGAAATTCCCCTTCACTTCCTGTTTCATACATGCAACAGGAAGTAAGAAGAAATCTCCCAAAGAAAGTGCTTGATCCCTGAGATTTCCCCTCAGAAAGTTGTCTTTAGGGCAGATGACCCCATTGGAAGATTCCCCTTACAACTTACTCTGGAAACTGTAAAATTGGGAACTTTTCTCACCTTCTGGGTGACAATGGTCAAGAGTACAAAAAAAAAAAATGGGTGAATATCCCCAATGGGGACACGGACAGAAATAAAAAAACTTAACTGAAGACCCTGTGGGTGCTGGCTGTATGAATACAATAGTCAGCAGTGGGAGATTTCTCTATCTGCACTGCTTAGGCTGCTTTCACACTCAAAAATGCAGTAAACCACATATGCATTTTTGGTGCGGTTTCTGGGTGCCTATTACCCAGCATGCACCTGTGAAACATGGACACGCAGATGCATTTTTGACACATTTTCTATTCCTGTAATGTGTTTTGAAAACCACACCAAAGATGCAGCTTGCAGGATTTTTCAAAATACACCACACCAGCAACGCAATGGCGTGAAGAGTCCCATAGAATTTAAACGTATTGTGTTGTAGCGCAGCAAAGACGCATCAGTGTGAAAGCAGCCTTAACGTTGATGGGATTTTAAAAATCTGAACATGTATGGCCAGCTTGAGATTGAAAATCCTTGGAGGCCCCCGGAAAACCAGCCTTTGGTCTCATAGACAGGGTTGCAGTTTATCTAAGGCTCCATTCACACTAGGTTTTTTTCAAATTGCAGGTGAGATCGCTGCGATTCTGCCCACGATTTGAAAATGCACTGTAAAAGTGTGACATCGCCTTTTTTGGGTGTCGCGCCTCCTGCAATTTTGTTTGCGCAATCACGGTACGTTTGCAGTGCGGAAAAATGCACCATGCTCGCAGCAAAACTGCCCCACAATTTCAGGTGCCATTGAAATGAAACTGCGATCACGTATTTTCACTCTTTTACAGCACGTTTTGCAGGCAGAATCGCATTGATTCCGCTCTCGATTTGAAAAAAAATCTAGTGTGAATGGAGCCTAATCATGGCACGCTTGCCGTGTAGAAAAATGCACCACGATTGCAGCAAAACTGCCTCGCAATTTCAGGTGCCATTGCAATGAATGGCGCCTGAAAACGCAATTGCGCATTTTCACTCTTCTACAGAGCGTTTTCAAATCGCAGGCAGAATCGCACTGATTCTGCTCTCGATTTGAAGAAAAAAAAAAAAAACAGTGTGAATGGAGCCTAAGATTATTATTAATATTATTATACAGGATTTATATATTATTATTATACAGGATTTATATATTATTATTATTATACAGGATTTATATATTATTATTATACAGGATTTATATATTATTATTATACAGGATTTATATTATTATTATACAGGATTTATATAGCGCCATCAGTTTGCTCAGCACTTTACAATATATTGGGGGACAATACAGCAACAATACAGTTCAATACAAGAGGGATAGGAGGGCCCTGATCCCTGGAGCTTACAATCTAAGAGGGAGGAGCTAGTGGTACAAAAGGTAATAACTGTGGGGGATGGACTCATAGGAGGAATAGAAGATTCCATTATTAGCTGAGGGCAGGATAGGCTTCCCTAAAGAGAGGTTTTCAGAGATTATTATTATTATACATTATTTATAAAGCGCCAATAGTTCGCTCAGCGCTGTACATTACAAAGGGGGACAGAACATGTGACAGAACAATACCAATACAATACAAAACATGAGGGGATCGAGGGCCCTGCTCTTTCGAGCTTACAATCTAGGAGGGAGGGGATGGTGGCACAGGAGGAGATAGCTGTGGGGGATGGAGTGGTAGGAAGAGTGGAGGAGGTCGGCAAGTTAGCAGGGGGTGGGGTAGGCTTCCCTGAAGAGATGGGTTTTCAGGGTGCGCCTAAAGGAGAGGAGAGTAGGTGATAATGTGATGGGTTGGGGCAGGGAGTTCCAGAGGATGGGTGACACCCTGGAGAAGTCCTAGAGGCGGGCATGGGAGGAGGAGACCAGGGAACTAGAGAGAAGGAGGTCTTGTGAGGAGCGGAGTGTGCGTGCTGGGTTGTACTTGGATATTAGGTCAGAGATGTAGTACGGGGCAGTATGGTGGACAGCTTCGTACGTCAGTGTTAGGATTTTGAATTTGATCCGTTGCGCAATCGGAAGCCAGTGGAGGGATTGGCAGAGGGGGAATCGCCTAAAAGTGAGCATAGTAGGCGATAGTCTGATAGATTGGGGTAGAGAGTTCCAGAGGATAGGGGAAGCTCTGGCGAAGTCCTGGAGAGGAGCATGGGAGGAGGAGACAAGGGAGCTAGAGAGCAGGAGGTCTTGCGAGGAGCGGAGAGTACAGTTTGGGTGATATTTAGAGATAAGATCGGTGATGTATTTTGGGGCAGAGTTATAAATGGCTTTATATGTTATTGTTAATGTTTTGAATTTTATCCATTCGGCAATGGGAAGCCAGTGGAGGGATTGGAACAAGGATGGCAGATATGGAACGGATAGTAAGGACGATAAGTCTGGGAGCAGCATTCATGATAGACTGAAGAGCCTGCGATGAGGTCAGCCAATGAGGAGGGAGTTACAATAGTCATGACGAGATATAACCAGGGAGTGAATAAGTTGCTTAGTGGTTTCTGTGGTTAGGAACGGGCGTATCTTGGAGATGTTGCGGAGGTGGACAGTGATAGGATTTGGGGCTGAAAGGACAGATGGGAGTCTAGGATTACACCTAGTACCCTGGCACGAGGGGAGGGACTACTAAGAGAAAGTAGTTCTGGCATTCAGCAATTATATATACAAACAGGGCTTAGTTACAGTATAATAGTAGATCTAAACAGCGATGTCAAAAGGAAGCTATAGAAATATGAATTACCTATTGTTACCAACAACTGTTAAAGACATTTCAGGTTAAAGGAGCCTACAATGGGGGGGGGAAAAGTCATAGAGCAAGAAATTCTCAGGATTCCAGAAAAGGAATGTCGTCTTGGTCTGAAAGACACCATAACAATCTGACTGCTCTGCCCGAACACTGGAAATTTGGCATGCGGAGAGGATGTAGAACAGAAAGGCTGGGCAGTGTTTAGGTGAATTAGGATGCATTTGTAAAGTTCTCCATCCTCACTGACATTTTTTTTGGAACCCGCTACTGCCAAAACAACGAAAACCCCGATCAAGAAAAAAACACGTGCGACGAGTACGTTGTCACAACAGCATCTCGTTCACTTTTTCCCCGACATTGGCACACAATGTTACAAAACTTTTTTTGTTTACTTTGAATAGACTAGAGCAGGCTTAAGTCCCATATCAGGTTATTTTTTGTCTCTGTCCCACTGGGGGGATTCCCCCTCACTTCCTGTCCTGGAGACATAACAGGAAGTTAGAAATATCTCAGTAAAGTGAGTAGAAGTGCAATCTTGGACAGTTGTCCCGACTGCAAGATTTTGCTTCATCTCGTTTTCTGATGACAAATCTAATTTTTTTTTTATTTCCCCTTCACTGTCTCAGTGACAATGACTACCAGGATAAACAAATAGAAAATGTAATTCTTGTGAGCTATGTTGTATTTTATGCGTTAATGTCTTTGTAAAGTGAATGGAAATTTAATAAAAAAAACATAATAAACATAAATATATAAAAACACCACTAATAACATGCTGAATAGACACGTGTGTGTGTAATATGAGAAAATATTTAAAAAAATTAATAAATGAAAATCAATTAAGTGGGTCGCCTACACCATACACATCCATGTGTGTCACTATAATCAAAAACAATCCAAACGTGTCACGCTCCACTAAATGAATTAAATGTGACCAAAAACAATGCAAACGTATGTATATAGTCCATTGAGTATATTTCACATTTAATGGTATTAGTGGAGCGCGACATGTTTGCATTGTTTTTGAGGATAAACAAAAAGGCGAGTCCTCCCAATGGGACACAGAGCAATAAAAACCTGATCCCTGGTTCACACTGATGCGGTGCGGAATCCATAGCATTTTCTGTGCGAATTCCACACCGCACTAGAATCGCACCCAGTTTATGCGAATCGCTGCGGGTGTGTATGTTAAGTTAACAACACCCCGAAAGCGGTCCCCAAAACGCAGTGCAATGTGCAGAATCAGATCGCATGGGTGTGAATACCCATGCAATCTGATTCTAGTGCAGACCCGAAAAAGGGTCCTGCACATTTTTGGTGCGGGCGTGGTGCGAATAGAGTCATACAAAATGTATGGCTCCAATCGCATCACACACAAATCGCATGTGATTTACACAGGAATGCAGTGCGGTTCCTGTGCGAATCACATGCAATACATCGCACTGCATATATGTGAACCTGGGCTAAAAGAGTCTGAACCTTGTCTGCTTTATCCAAAGCAAGCAAAACAAAAAAAAGCTTTGGCCGTAACACATATTTTAAGGCTCCATGCACACTAGAGGTTATTTTAACCCCTTCACGCCGGCCACTGCCGGCCCTTTAAGAGTTTCAGAAGCCGGGAGGCGGGGTGGGGTTTAGGGTCATGTGATCGCCGTGACGCGTCGTCGTCACGACGGTCACATGATCGGGAAAGGTCCCGATCGAAAGAAGAGATCGGGACCTTTCCGTGAGTCCTGGACACGTGTTGGGAGCGCGCGCTCATCGGCACAAATGTCCTTTTTTTAATAGAACGCAAATGTGCGGCCACTAGGCGTCTAGGCCCAGACGCCGGGAGGCCACACATTAGCGTTCGGCCGGCATGAAGAGGTTAAGCTCAAAACGCTGGGAAAATTGCTGAAAAAAATTGGTAATAGCATTTTTTTAGTAACATTCAGAAGCGTTTAGGAGCATTAGCATTTTATTAGCATTTTTACAGTACACGTAAAGGGGGGAAAAAAAAAAAAAAAAACTAGATACAAAGCTGTTAGGATTGTTTAGCGGTTTTTTTCTTCTGGAAAAACTTTCCAAAAAAAAAAAAAAACACACTCTACAAAAAAATGTTTTTTCTGCTCCTGGACACTGTAGCCCCAGCCTCACAGGTGCACCCTACATACGCGCCATTGTTCAATAACAAGACACCCCAGATCTCATGTGGCGCAGTGCCCATCAGTGGGCTAGTACAGAAAAAAGAAGTAGAATTAGATAGTTTTAAAAAATGGCGATCCGGGAAGCAAAGTCAAGGGGGGGGGGGGGGGGGGGGGGGGGGGGGGGGGGAAACTTGTGGGAAAGGGGCAAACAAAGGAATGAGTTCTTATTTACGAGGTTATTTGTTTTCCTAAAAACATTTATTTAGCATAGATAGTTTACTGGGGAGCTTAAAAGGGGAGCTCCAGGCTCCACAGCAATATTTTTTAAAAAGCACCATCATGATTGTGATTACTTGTACTGAAATAATTGGCTATTGTTATACCTGTATTCATACCTGTTATTCTTACATCTGTGATCGATCACACAATCTTGTCAGCAGGCAGGGGCCATGGTAGATGTGGGCACCTGAAGCCCGCTCCTGTTCACTTCCGGGATTCGGTGCAGCTGGCTGCCCAGCATTCACCTTCCGATCTCGCGCCTGGGAAGTAATGACACTGCGCGATGCAGTTTGTTGATTGAAGGTTGCCATAGCAATGGTGGCATCGGTGGACATTACCGCGCTGTTGTTATGGCAAGCTGTCAATCAGAAGACCTGGAAGTCGGATGTGGTCTGGGAAATAAAGCGATTTTTCATTTTTAGTCAATTCGCTTGGACTCCTGGGATAGATAACGCCGATATCCCAGGGAGTCCATGCAAAGCACCTTATGAGGACATCGCCTAGACGGCTGGACCGGAAGTGCTGCATACACAGATAAAAATAAGGTATTCAGACATAAAAAAAATCTATATTAATATCCATGAAGGAATACACTGCGGGTGGGCATGTAGATGAAAGCAACTTTTAAAAATGGGTGGAACTATGCTTTAAAGTGGAGCTCCACCCAAAAGGGGAAGTTCCGCTTTAAGAAATGCTTCCCCACTCCCCATTGAGAATTGGCACCTTTGGGGAGCGGGGAACAGGTACCCGAATTTGATAGGTACCTGCACCCACTTCCGGTCTGATCGCCTAGGCGATCGGAAACAGAAGGTGTCCTCCCTCCCTGTAGTCTTTTGGGACACGTGACAGGTCCCAGAAGACTACAGGACCATTCACAAAGTGCAGCGCTACTCGCACATGCGCAGTGGGTACCCGGCTGTGAAGCTGCAAGCTGTCACAGCCGGGTGCCCACACTGAAGATGCCGGCCTCCTGGAATACAGGACGGATGGTGAAACGAGCTGCAGGGGACACACCACGGGACCGAGGGACAGGTAAGTGGCTGTTTTTTTAAAAGTCAGCAGCTACGGTTTTTGTAGCTGCTGACTTTTATTTTTTGACAGGGTGAGTGAAATCCGCTTTAAGTATGTTCATATTGGCCCATTCCATCACACAGCAAGCGAGCAGGATGCCCAACATTGGCCCTCATTTTCACTTCAGTGGCCTGGCTTCTTGAAGTCCTGACAGCGTACTTATCGACTGCAGCCGTTTCCTGATTTAGACAGAAGGAATTATTGAAAAGGGAAGCAGGATATTACTGCTCACACTGCAAAAACACAACTAAAAAAGCAGATAAATAGAAAAGCTTCTTGGAGGCTCATATGCTCCTCGGTCAGAGTGAGGTTAGAACCAGTATTGGTAGGGAGCAATTACAGCACGATTTTGTTATTTGTGGATAATGGCTATAATGCTGATTAATAATTCATACAGAAACTAAATGGCACTGCGTCTTCATAGATGCAACATCTAGAAGCTTCCATAAAATAAATGACCGAGACCTGATCTTCAATAAAAAAAAAAAACTATGAACCAGAAACTGGTATAACCTGTTATAGGAAAAAGGAGAAAAAGGCCAGGGGAAGGATTTATTCGTCACACTCCAGACTTCCTGCCAGACTGATAACTAGGAATGGGAGCCCAAAGGAAACAGTATTGCCTTTAGCAAACAAATGTTTCCTTCTATTTTAGAAGCTGAAAACCTTAATTTAAGTACATTTCCCCAAAAACACAAAGGATATAAATCTACTTTATGTGAACCAAATGCGTTTTACAAGATAATATCTACTCTTTCAAAGTAGTGGTGACATCTGCAATGTGAATCCTGCCTTAAGCCAGCCAGCCATAGATGGAGATGGTTCAAATCTCGGCCAGTTCAGCAGGAACAGGATTATTGTATCCATTTTGTTTGCCGTACAACCTTTACATGTGATTAATGCCAGCAGCTATAGCTGCTAGCAATAATCACTGTGTTCTCCTAGCAGGCGATGGCTCCCCCCCCCCCCTCCCAGGGGTGTATTTACTACAAGGCAAGCAAGGCATTTGCCTTGGGCGGCATTTTTCAGGGGGGGCAGCACTGCCCCTTGGAAGAAGGCACGCATGCGGCATAGGGACCTGGTGGGTTCCAAGAGATGATGTGGGTTTCATGATGGTATATGCACAGCCCAACTCTGGTTCCTGGGGATGTCTGGAGCTGTAAAGGTGAGTATCTCTCTCTCTCGCTATGGGGTATGGTGGCTGGTGTATGGGGGGCAGTGTTAGTGGAAGGCTCGGGTGGAGGGCAGGAGTGCTCGTGGTCAATGTCAGGCTCTTTCTGTGGGGAGGGGGACACCAATTTTTGTGTTGCCTAGGGAAGCACAAAACCTAAATACACCACTGCCCCCTCCTAGGAGAACACACTAGCTCCATGGGAGGGATTCCGCCATTAGCCATGGTTGCAGGAAAGAAGAGTCGCATAGTCTGTGGCCTGCCTTAGATGCCAATGGATTTCCCCAGTCAAGACATGTGCAAGTTAGATTAAAGAGACACTTTCCCCAATTAACCACCTCCCATCCAGCTGTTGTATATAAACGGCCGGACGGTGGCAGTGTAGGGTTGGGTGGCCGTTTATAAACGGCCTCCCCACCCCCTTCTTGTGCGCGTACCCTGAGAGCATGCAGCACTGCAATCCGGTGCCTGCTGTGTCCTCCAGACACAGTGGAACACCGATCATGGTACGGGACCTCTGTGCGAGGGTCCCGATCATGTGATCACTGATTGGCCAATCAGTGATCACATGCAGAGTAGTAAGCACGTTTCTCTACAGGCCGGGAATGCACGCAGTTTTGCACACGTGCCCACCTGCACAGATGACCCTAGCCTGAGAAGTGCTGTTAACCCCATCTTTGTCACTCCACTCTACCCCCATTAGCATGCAATAGACTGCTCTACAGAACACCCACTTGTGATGCTGAACCTCCACGATTGAGAGAACCGAAATCCAATTAATGAAAAGGGAGGCCAGGGCCTGTTTAGCTGGGGAGGAAAGAGCTAGATAATGTTGGACATCCTCTAGTCAGGAAAAGAGGCCAGGTCTATCCAATTTGCTGCAGCTTTTAAAATACACTGAGAAGTGTGAGAAGCTCACAATGTGCAGTAAAATGAGAGTGTAAAAGAACCAACCCAGACTGCGCTTGAGTACTTCCGTTAGAATACCGCTTCCCCGTCCGAACACTGACAACAGACACCACAGCCGACCATACAAGACTAGATGACACCAGTCTTTAAGTAAACCAGGAGGTACACTAGTTTATTTGAACACAGATACAAGATATATACACTCAGGGGACAATCCCCCTCCCTGCATAATGACACAGGGTGGGGCAGTCTACATTTAGTAACAAGAGACACACAGGTATTCAAACTTCACACCAGCAGACAGTCCCATCAGGAGGGAGGGCTGCTGGAGACATCCCCCCACTAAGCTAATATACATAACATTAAACAATCAACAACCCCCACCCCCTCCATCTCCTAAACATGTCTACACAGTCTAAGACAAAGCCAACACAATATTAGTACAGATCACCCTGTACCCCTAACAGGCACAGGGTGACTTACACATAAGAGGGATATGGGGAGCTGAGACAGGGGTCTCCCCACCTCTCCAAAGTGAGCTGGGTTCCATGGGCCCCCCACCCAAAGTGACTCCCGTCACACAGAGTAACTAATTTCAGTACAAGAGAGTAGCCTGTGCAAAACTAAAAGTAAGGCTAGAGGTCAGCTGTAAAAGTCTACAAAACGGGGCATTGCCAGCAAACGGTCGCAGAAAACATATGTTCTATAAGCTGCTTGGGCTGATTTGCCTTTGCAGCGGATATTCAGCAGAGAAGCTGACTGCATCGTCTGAACAGGGAGAAAATTACACTTGGTCTATAAAACAGGACTAAGAAGCTAATAACATTGCAAGTATGTAGAGGTTTAACATTTATATAAATGTAATTGAAAATGTACAATACTTGCTCTTTCGCATCTGAAAAAGGTGTGTTAAATATCTGAATTTTGATCTACGGTAGATCAGAGCATAAATGTCACACAAGTAGTCTTGGAAGATGAGTCACTGAATCCTTGTTCTTGTCCACAGGCGTATAACCCCTGAGCTGACCTTGCACGCCTAGGTGTTAGCATTCCAAAGCTGCAAAATTCTGCAGACCGACCTTAAATCTCACAGACAGCAAAATCACCCACAATGCAGCCTGCTCAGGGACATGGAAAACACGTTAAGCGTAGAAACACCATAAAGCCTAATATGGTATTGCTTGCTGTTCCAGCGTGGATTTCCATAGGGAGAAATTGGGGTTTCCAAGGACACGCAAGCAGCAAAGTGCCAGATGGTTCAGATTATAGGCATGGACTGCAGATCTCACAAGACAGGAAATAAGTCCATACACTGTAAAAAAAAAAAAAAAAAAAAAATGAACGCACTATACAAAATGTACAACTCATTTCAATAGCTCTGTAGCTGGAGAGAACAGTCTTGCTCAGAATGTGTCCTGTTCATTGCTTCCAATGTAGAGACGAGTCTCTAAGACTTGGTCACAGGCTGGCTTGAGTGGAAGTCAACTCTGCTGTCCACCACCATAAAAACTCAGAACCCCATTTCCACAGTTGGTAAATGCTCAAAAGACATGTATTTGTGTCCCAACTCACTTTGTGGTTGTAAGCCGCTCTACCCCACTATTGCTGAAGTTGGCGCCATCTTGTATGTGTCTCACATTTACTTCGCCTCTCTCTTCTTCCACCATCCATGGATTTCTTGGATTTCTTCAACAGTTCCCACACACATGCCATAGGATATGGGTGGCATGGAAATAGAGCTGGCTCTGTTGACCTAAGATGGTAACAACATCTCCCCCCAATTGGAGGTATCTCCTTAACTAACATATTCCCAGTTTCAATAGTCAGGGTTGGGGCCTTCCACAAACATGGAAAAGTCACCCATTCTGGCGGAAAGTGGCAGATCAGATGACTACCATCTCTCACATATGTTTTATTTTTTTAATCAAACTTTATAAGTTTTTCCTTGTGCCTGTTTCTAAACTGTAATTTTTTTCAAAACGTCTTTGTTCTTTTGTCTCATCAGTGGCATGGGAAAATTAAGCTTTTACTAGTGATTTTCAAGATGTTGCATTAATGCTAACAACAGATGAGCGTTTTCCTTAGATGCTGTGGTCTTGTCACTGCAGTCTTCTTCAGGTCGTAAAGATTCCTCAGAACCAACCGAGATTTACCTTAGCTGTGGGAGAAAAAAGGAACTATCCCATAATGCACCACGACCAGACTGTGTTTAAGCGGATTTCATCTTTAAAAAGGAGACGATCAGACAAGCCACAAATTACTAGTGGGCCTACATCATACCAGCTGGATCTTCTAGATTGAGAGCTGCAGTGGTACCATGGTTTACATCGTAACTTATTCTCTCCCCATCTGAAGGGTTAGCTTCAGACTTGAGATGATTGGCTGGATTTGGTCACTAGCCTTTGTCCATGTGGACTTTGCAACTTCTACAGACATGCCTGTCCAACCAAACAGGAGAGAAGACTGTTGAACAAAATACCTATTCCCAGCAAAACACAATTGTTCTCCCAAAATGAAGACAGCATCAGCAGCACTCCAGGAAAACACTATAGTGCTCCACCGTACAATTGTAGTATAGTGTGTTGATCTTCCAAGCAGCCTTGTCAGGAGATAACCATCTCA